ATATTTATAAAATTTATATGTAATATGTAAATTATTGATTTTATTGTAATTTTTTATTTTCTTTAACTAGAATAATCACTTTTTAGTCATTTCATCATTTTGCTCATTACTAATTTTTTATTTTACCTGTAATTCATAACTTAATTGTCCAGTAAAAAAAAAAATCATTCAAAAATCCTAATTTTATTTTTGGCTTACTAAATTCTCGATTTGGTCATTTGTGCGTCGCTTCCTTATCCGTTACTCTTCATCTTCAAAACAAAATCAGATAAACCTATGGACTGACATGTTTCTTTTAATGACTATAATATGGAACCATTTTTTACTTCATACATAATAAAAAATCATGCATAAGTAGATAATGATGTAAATTAATTAATTATTTTAAAGATAAGAAAATTTCTATTTCGTGAAACACATAAAAAGTTTCTTTTTCAAGTAAATGGAAGTAGTTTAGATTATTTGGTGGCGTTTGTATATAATCAGCCAGTCAAAAGATTATTTCAAAACCGCAAAACGTAAAGGTGATGAGTAATTGACCACTGAAAATATTCCATCTGGTTCCAAAAAAAAAAAAAAAAAAAAAAAGGTAAAAACATATAACCAACAAATATTTTGGGCATTTAATTTTTAATTAATCAAAATTTTCATTCTCACAAACGTAATTTCGCACCCCCCATATTTTTTTTTATATTTTAAATATGCGATTAATTGATTTTAATGTGCCACAATTTTTCCCAATTATATATTTAAAAATTGTAATTATTTCACAATAATTTTAATTAAATTATAAGAATTGAGATAATTTAAAAATGGTTAAATCATAATTATATACCTAGGAGTAATAATGATAATTATTACAATTGGAAATTTAAATCTTACTATAACGTATTAAAAAATATGTAAAAAAACAAAACATATTGTATTATAAACATTCAACTGAAAATTCAAGTAACTTAGTAAGCAGTGGATTGAATTCTCATTTTTTTTTAATTTGCAAGTCGCACTAGAATGCAAAAAAAAAAAAAAAGAAGCATATTATTATTTTTTTTTAATTTTAAATACGATAGTTTAACCACCTAGCCATTAAGTTCTAAAAAATGAAAATCTTGAACCCATCTTCCGGCCCACCATTTCATTTCTTCCTCACAGTTTATCGAAGAAATACTTTCCCAACATACTTACAACTTTTATATCACTTATTAATATTTTTATTGTAACGTGAAACCAGGATATTCAATCTTTCACCCATTTCACGAAAGACATAAGTAGTATTATGTTCTTTCTTTACTGGTGATATTTAAGGCTAGATTATGGCAATTCATAAAAAAAAAAAAAAAAAAATTAAAAATAAACAAATAAAAAATAAAAAATGCTTAGCCTTTCGTCTAATTCAGGTATAACCTTTTAAATAAATATTTAGTCCTTAGGGAACGAGATTGGTAATTGCATAAATAAATAATCACATTTGTCATTGTTTAAAATATACTTTCAGTAAATAAAATAAACAGATTTTATTTTAAACATTGTATATAATAAATATATTCAGGCGCACAAATATTTTAAGTTTTCTTTTTATCAATTGTATTCCCTATTGGCTAGAAATAAAATTATCTTTAAAGTAGATACCATTAATAATTAACCTCCTCCCCCCACCAGATTTAAGGGGGTTTTAGTTTCAGTAAAAAAAAATTATATTTTTTACACTTATCTATTTTTAAATGAATACCCTGCAATAAACACTGGAACAAATATAAAATATATTTTATTTATTTTTTAATCATAACATTCTATAAAAATAGCTTTGTTAATGTAGAGCTACAATTGAACTTTATTTTCAGAACTCTCTTTCTCTGCTGAGGTAAATTCATCGAGACCCCCAGAGAGATGGAAAGAACGAATTATAGCTAATCAAGACGCACATAAATCACAAGTTGGACGATGAAAAATGTAAAATAATTAATTAATTCTACATAAATAATTAAAAAGTGGACTTGAGTTTACTCCCCTATCTCTTCGACAGCAATTAAGTTTTATTCCAACTTGTTTATTTCAAACTTCTTAACTAATTTCGGCTGCATCAGGCTAACATTTTAAAAATTTCAATGAGATTAAGAAGCATGGAAACTTTTGTTAGAAAAAAAAATCTAAGCACAGAACTAAAGACAAAGGAAAAAATTGGAATGTCCTGGTAAAATTAGCCCCAGGCTGCTCTCTATCGTTTTCAACGAAATAAAATTGATTCAAAACTTCATACATGCTCTCAATTGAAGTTGATCAGCTTGTTTGAATGTCATGACGCCTAACAGGGACGAAATGCTAAATTCTGCGGACATGGGCGAAAAAGTCAAACTTTTTTTTCAATTAATCAAATTATCAGCATCCACATATTTAAACCCTTGGGAATATGATAATGTCGAACCATTCTTGAAATATCAAGTGATAAGATGAGGTCGAACCAAATTTATTTGGATTATTTGGAAGTCTTATTTAAACTGAGACAGAATATGGTACAATTAAAAACTAAATTTAATAGCGCATTAAAATAATGCGGTGTTAGTTTTTAATCCTTGAAGTTTGGTAAAGTTTTGAACTTTAACATACATTGTTAAGCGTCACAAAGAAATTCCAAGTTGTGCCGAAAAGAAAAAAAAAAACTGACTTCTCAAGGATACATTGTAAGTATTTAGTAAATTGATTGAGAAAGAATAACACCCAATTTTCTCCTATTTGCCCAGTAAGAGAAGTTTTAAAATAATATTTAAGGGTCTACATAATTTTAAAAATATCAATGTATTCTCAGACAATATATATATATATATATATATATATATATATATATATATATATATATATATATATATATATATATATTATATATATATATATATATATATATATATATATATATATATATATATTGTCTGTATATATATATATATATATATACATATTGTCTGTATATATATGTATATATATATATATATATATATATATATATATATATATACATTAACACTTTCAAATTAAGAGTTACTTGTAAAGAAGAATATATATTTATAATTAATATTCTGATTTCTTTTTTTTTTTTTTTTTTGTGATATCGCTATTAACAGGCATTGGTTACAGTTGAAAAAAATATATATAGCGTTTCGTCCCAGTGAGAGCCTCCTGGTTAAGGATAATTGTTTAAGAGACGTAACAACAGTTAATATTTAGCTCAAGTATTAGTATCAAATATTTTTCATATTCTTTCTAGCAGAGGCAGATATATGAGAGGGAGGACTTTTGGGCTGTTGTCCTCCCACCCACGCAAATAGTAAAATATGACCATGTATTAAGAAAAAAATATTGAAACTTTATGTCTAAACATGTTATAGTTAACATTTCATATAGATAGTTAATTACTTGGCCTTTATATATATATATGTGTGTGTGTATAACGCTCCCAAAAAAATTAAATCCTGGATCCGCTATTGCTTTCTAGACACTTTATATCTATGATTTTTTTTCTCGTCCGTTTGGAGTGATTTTTGTTAAAATTATTGAAGTAATGAGGAATGTGAAATTCACTACACGATATTTCCGGCTTCCAACTGAATAAGCATTATTTTGTAATAAGGATGTACATTAAAACTGATTTAAAATACATATAATTAATTAGAAATCTATTAATGGATTACTAGGACAAAATATGAACTTAAGTCAGTAGCAGATCCAGCATTTAATTTTGGGAACTTCAGCCCGAAGCTATTTTTTTTATATGTATAACAATTATTACTCTGGAAGAAAAAGAAAAAAAAAATCAGATACCTATATGAAATGGTATTTAAGTCATTCATGAAGTCCTATTAAATTTAGTAAAACGAACAATAATATATTTATAGATAATTATTTCTATAAGGCATGGTTATATTTCACCATTTTGGGAGGCTTCGGACCGAAAGCACCTCCCCCCTTCTTCGTAGATCACCTGTGCTTAAAACTAATTCTCAACTACAAACAAACTTAATTATTATTAAAACTAATGATACAACATGAACATTTATAAATTTCATTGGTTAAGGTAAATATTTAATAATAATGTCGAGTGCTTCAATTTATTTATAATCACTTCTGAGTCGCTTCAAAATATATTATATTATATAATATATTAAAATCTATGTGGCAAATTATGTTGAAAAATAAATATAATAATAAATTCAGAGTATTTTAACAAAATAGTTCTATCTTATAATGAATACTTTTTTTTTTTTTTTGTGCTTTCTTTTTCTCACTCTCTTTCTCTCTCTCTCCCTCTCTGTATTTATTAATTATATATATATATATATATATATAAAATTAAGTAGGAGCAAAGTATTCTGTCTCAAAACCCAGAACCATAAAAGTCGTGTTATTGCATGAATTGAAAAGGGGTACAGTTCTATTAAGCTGAATATTGTAAGACATTTTCGAAAGCGTACCATACAACATTTGATTTGTTGTTTAAAACATAAATATTTCAATATGTAAGCAGATTAAAATTTTTTAGATATATAATTCATAAGCTTTGTAAGACAAAGAACACATGTTAAGTCACTGAGATAGGTTTTAGGACTCGTATTAATAAATCGAATCAGATTATTACCTATCAATCGTTAATATTTATATAAAAGTCAAATTTTTAAATGAAATTGTCGATGATATAAAATTATTAATTTAAGTGCCTTGTTACTTTTTTTGTATCAAAAAGGTTTATTAAATCATCCAATAGCCCTGAAATCCTATAACAGACAAGTTATTACTTTAGAGGCTAACTCTTTGACAACGTTGGTTGTTTTTTCATTTTATATTGACAATATTAAATATGGCCTCAAATCTTGAGGCAACACAGCACTGTTAAGTTTTAGTCCACTTTCATATCAACTTTTTTAAATCAAAGTGTATTATTATCTGATGCAGGTTAATATTATAACCAAAATCATAGCAAATAACATTTCTCAACTGTCAAGATAGATTTTTTATTTACAGCTGTCAAAACGAAATGGACCTGAAAATATTTTATAAATATGAAATATGAGTGTTTAAACAGATTTGGAGTAGTTAGTGAGGCCTTACCATAGAGGTTGGGCAAGTAGTGGAGCTGCTTGGAGGCGGCAGGCCTGCTGTCGGACATGATGCTCTCGATGCTGAAAGGTGCTGGCCGCTTCCTCTTTTCTTTGTCCTCCTCCGGTTTGGGCAACTTGAAACGCTTCCTCCTCCGCAAGAAGGATCCATTCTCGAACATGTCGAGGGCAGCAGGGTGTAGCGTCCAGTAGGCTCCCTTACCGGGCCTGTCAGGCCGCCTCGGGATTTTGACGAAGCAGTCGTTGAAGGAGAGGTTGTGACGGAGAGAGTTCTGCCACCTCTGGGTGTTGCGGCGATAGTAGGGGAACCTGTCGCTGATGAAGCGGTAGATGTCGGCCAGGGGCAGCATCTTATCCGGCGAGCTCCAGATAGCCATCGCCGTCAACGAAATGTACGAGTAGGGCGGCTTCTGGTCCCCGTAGGATTCCCTGCACGGCCGAGGCATGGAATCTACATAACGTGCAAGACTGACCGTGCCCGAGTGTGTCCTCTGGCGGAGTCCCGGGAAGGGGGCGTGGCAATGGGCGGGTCAGCGGGCGGTATCCTGCGCATGTTTGCCCAATCCCATTTCTGCCCCCTCCATTTTGTTTTCCTCTCGCTCCTGTAGAATCGTTACTGCCTTCTGGACGATGTATTCGCTGAGTAATAACATACCTACGGCCCCACAAATAAAACTGATACATAGTTGTCATACCACAGAGACTATGTAGTTTTATTTATATATATGTTTACGATTTACGATAATAAAGATAATGAATGAGAGAACACAAATGATTAACTTATTATTTCTTTGAATAATTTTGCAACCTGTATCGATAAGAGAACCAGGGCTTTGTAATATCGATGTTTTCTAATTGTTTATAATAGCTACTTCTGACTTCTGATACTCCAAAATCGATATTCAGTAATTTTTTCGACTATAAATTATCCAAAGTCTTCAAACAATGGGATTTTTTTTTAAATGAAAAATAGATTAAATGCCCGAAGCATATTATGACGAATGCCTGGAATCCTGAAATGGATAAAAAAATAGTTTTTCAATTCATGGAGTTCTCATCATCTGAATAATAAAATAACGGTTCATACCAGAGAAATCAGGCAATAACGCCATGTTAGAGACAAATGTGTTAAAATCAGCCGCTCAATTCTTGAATTTGCCTAAAATACCTATTTTTGACTATTGACGCTTTACAAACTATATTCAGTAGCTTTTGGACTACAACTGAAATGTTATATTTCTTGAATGAAAAATAGGTGCAATGGTTTTCTGTATGAACGAAATCAATGAAGACTGACTCGAATCCAGACATGGATGATTTTGTTTTTAATTTATCGAGTTCTAAGCATCTAATGATTATTAAAATGCCGGTACATTCCAGACACATGAAGTGATAACGTCATGTTTGAGATAAATGTATCTGACAATTGTATCTACTGTTCCAGAAATCTGATCTGCAGTTCGATTCTCGAATTTCTGTGAATTAACTACTTTAGACTTTTGAGGCTCTAGAACCTAGAACCGATATTCAGTCATTTTTTGAATACTTATCCAATACTTTTAAAATACGGATTTTTTTCTTGAATAAAAAATAGATGCAATGGTTATCTGCCCAAAGCATATAAGGATGAATGTCCCAAATCCGGTTTATCTTCGTCATATTTTGCTGTATTGATCGTACCGAAAAGAAATCGCATATTCGATATCGTTTTTTCCCCCTTGTAACTGCTTCTGAAGAATATTTAAACTGTTTAAATCATCCAATTTAAAAATATATTACTTTTTAACTGGTTTGATTAAGCATAGCCTGAACGAGGGAAGGGGTAAAGGGAACACCTGCCCAGGGTGGCAGAATTTAGAACGCGGCGAAATCCGATTGGAAATTTATTTTTTGGTTAAATAAAAACTATTTATTTCCTAATTTCGATTGTTTCTATCTTAATCCAGCCTATAAAATGTTATGAGATGATTTTATTTATTTCGAAGTATCTCATCTAGATAAAATACCGCTATAAAACTGTTGACTTTTATTGAGGATGGTGAAAGCACTAAATTATATATCTATTTATCAATGATGAGGTAAGATTTCAATAATAATGCCATAAATAACAAATTAATTACAGAAAGCTCAACACTAACCCATGCCATTTTCTATATGAGGACTATCTAATACTAAAGGCGCAGAAATACCATTTTGGTTGGGTAAAAATGGTAAAAAAGGAAAAAAAAAATGGCGGTAGTTTATATTTGGTGAAAAATTCAAAAAAATTATTGTGAATCGAACGAAAGATAACCTTCATAAAACAGGTAGGTTTCTGTAACTTTTCTAGCTAAAAATAAATGATGTTAAACAACTGAAAAATATTTTTGATTTCTTGGTTTGCACAACCTTATAACAAAAATATAATGTTTTCACAGTCTAACTAGTTATGTAAAAATGTCAAGAATAACATTCTCTACAAAATATATTTATACTTATTAAAAATATTTTTTCTAAATTTATGGCAGAAAATTTATAAAAAATAACGTGAAAATTGATATGTCCAAACGAGAGGTGAATGGATCGTAAAATGTTTCAATATTATTATCCCTGAATGTGAGGAATAATTAGGTCGTGATAAAAACTAGCAAGCCAGTCGAGTTTTCTTAATCTGTAGCTTCATTCAAGCGTCATTCAATCATGTAGCATATTTGGTATCAATTTTAATTTTTTTTTTCTTACTTCAAATTATTGAGGGGGGCCAAACGATATTCTCGCCCCCTCAACATTTTTATTGGGGAGGAGATGGCCCCCCTTGCCCACCTCTTCGCTCCCTCCTCCCCGTAGTCTGCACCTATGTATTATACAGTAAGAACAAAAGATTTACGGGGGGCCAAATGGTAAAATGTAATCATGTTTTATGGTAAAAAACATAAAAAAATTATGTCTTAAAGTATTATTGCTCGTTTAATTACATTTAATAGCACTTCAAGAATCACTTAAACACCATTCCATATAGGTAGTTAGTATCTTTCTGTTTTTCTAAAGTAATTATAGTTATATATATGAAAAACAAGCTTCCGGGCTGAAGCCCCCCCCAAAAAAAAAATTAAATCCTGGATCCGCTAGTGCAGTAGAACATATAATTTGTTATCAGATAACTATTAATATACATCGATATAAATTTAGATGTAATCTAACAGAATGAACTGGCAGAAAATTCAAACTAGCTTCAAGGCGAAAATTAAAGTTGCAAAAGTTCTCTGTATTCGCGCAGATTTTTTCAAGTACCAAAAAAGTGATTTTGGCACTACATAGGAATTCTTAGGATTAGAAGGGTATCTATAGCTTTGAGATGAATATGGAAAAATTGAGTCCAATTCATGTTTTTAATTGTCTATTTATCTCTAATATATAAAAACCCTTTTAGTAACCGTGTAATATTTTATTTTACATAAACAAGGCGGGACGAATCCTAACGAATACACCACACTTCTTAATCACAGAATTATTTCTCCCTTAATATGGTTACAAATTGGCAATAAGAATAATTGTAATTAAATAATAATATAATTTGGCAATAAGGCGTGATGTATAATATACTTCTTTATAAATATAAGTGACCATCAAGATTGGTATCAAATCCTATTTTGTCAACACACATATTAAGAAATATGTTATAATATGGATTTTTAAAGAAATTAAAAAATTTTTCGAACTGTGGTTTCGTTATGATTACTGTATTGTGATAAAAAATTATACAATCTGAACTACAGAATACATGTAAATTATAGTTATACAATTTGACTACGAATAGTACAATTAAATGAACAGTTGTATAATTTATTAAATGGGGATTGGTCCGACGTTAGGGCGACATGAGGTACACCCCTTTTGGTATATATATATATATATTTTTGGTCCTATCCTTTACACAGTTTATACAGCTGACATTTCAAACCAATCCAACACTGTCATCACCACCTATGCCGATGACAAGTGTATCCTATCAGTTAATAACGATCCTTTAATTGCATCCCAAACTCTTCAATCACATATCATAAGCCTTGAAGAATGGTGTAAAAATCGAAGAATAAAAATAAATTCCAACAAATCCCATCAAATCACCTTTACCCTCCGTCGTAAACCTATGACTTCTTGTCCTACAGTATCCTTCAATAATACTCCACTTATTCCTGTTGAGCAAATCCGCTACTTAGGACTCCACCTTGACAAACGACTCACTTGGAACCCCCACACCAGACTGAAACGACTAGAAACCGCCCGACGTTTTCGACTACTGCAGCACTTACTAGACAAGCGATCTAAGCTTTCAATCAATTATAAACGACTCGTATATATGACAATAATAAGACCTATTTGGACTTACGGAATTGAGCTTTGGGGCTCCACTAAACCATCGAATTCCTCTCGTATCCAATCCTTAAAAACCAAAATCCTTCGTAAAATCCTCAACGCTCCTTACTTTGTAACAAATAAAATCATCCATAAAGACCTTAATGTTCCATATGTTTCCGATCTGGCCCAATCCAGATACCTGTCCTTCCATAACAAACAGCAGAACCATCCGAATCCTCTCGTTTCAAACCTTGCTTCCTCCTCGATCCCTGATAACCCTCCGAGGCGTCTGAAAAGAAGATGGCCTCGGGATCTTCTAATATAGAACTTTAATTTGGGTTCTACCAATGGGTAGTTTCTCTTCATGTTGTACATGCCATGTTACCAATTTCACATTTACTTATTGTATTCTCTATGTAATACAGTTGTAAATTCCATTAAAATAATAAAAAAAAATATTTTTTTTTTCGGTTGGCTCTACAGACCTTGTAGATCTTTGGCCGCCTGAACCAGCCTTCTCCACCTCTGTTTATTTTGGTCTACTGCTTTCCAGTTTGCGGCATGAAGCTCAGCCATATCTTCGTTTATCCTATCCATCCATCTGGTTTTTGGCCTTCCACGTGGTCTCTTGCCTACTACTCTGGCATTTATTTTCGTGTAAAGGCGCCTGATGGATTGCTATTAGCTACATGTCCTGCCCATCTTAACCTCCTTGCCTACAAAAAAAAATTTAGCAAACAGTAAATAACAACTGCTGTGATGTACACTTCAACTGTATTCAGTAAATAATCAAAGAGATTCCGCTGAAAATTAGGCAAAAACTGAGAGAAAATTTCAGAACACGACCTTCGCATCAGCTGATCCACTGCCTTCCTTAATTAAAAACTAATGTTTAACTTATTACGAGGGAAAAAAAATCATTACTCTATCTGTACATATATAACAAAAATTACAATATTCAAATAAATAGAATAAAAATCGTTACTTTTGTCTGTCAAAAAGTAATATAGGCTTCTACTACGTTACTGTCGGGCGAGGGCTTAACTTAAAAAAAAACTCCATTATCGGAGTCGTAGCTATTTTTAGTTTAGTTTTTAAGTCATAAGGATAATCAGTAAGAAGACTATTTTTATAATATATAGGCCTCAGTAATATCATATATTAAATACTATTATTAATAAATAAATCCAAATTTACGTTCATT